CTGTGGAACTCATTGCTGCAGAAGGCTGTGGGGGCCAAGTCATTGAGAGTATTTAAAACAGAGGTAGATAGGTTCATGATTAATAAGGAGATCAAAGGTTACAGGGTTGAGAAACATTGGTTAAATGGCAGAAGAAAGTCAATGGGCTGAATGGCCTAATTCTGCTCTTTTTATCTAATGGTCGTTTGGAGACCCCTTATTTATAAACTGTGGCTAGATTCTCCCACAAAGGAAACATCCTCTTAGCCATCACCCCAGCCAAAATCTTTACAGGTAGATGAAAGGGGCATCATCTCAGGACAGTGTTAATGGTTGATCTCCCATATTTATCTTTTTATGTTTGAGGAGAATGGGTAGCAATATGTAGTTATAGAATGGGGAGATTCCTTTCTTCCCAGATTGTGTGAAAGCACACCCTCTCTTTCCCCATGTTTTCCGAGGAACATTGAACTTAGGGACAGGAGTAGGCCATTTCAGCCTCTCCAACTTGTCCCATCATTCAATAAGATCAGGGCTGATCTAGTTGTAGCTATACCTCCCTGACTGGCCCCTTCATAACCCTGGACTCTGTTGTCAATCCAAAATTAATCGAACGGAGTCTGAATAAATTTAAAGACCCAAAAACCCCACTATTCTAGGAAAAACATTCTAGGAAAGAAAATTGCTCAAAATGAGTAAAGAAATTTCACCTTGCCTCTGTCTTAAAAGTGAGATCTCTTATTCTTAAACTATGTAAACCCCCTCTGTATTAGCCCTCCGCCCCCAAGGAGGAAACATTTCCCAAGATTCCTACTTCCAAGCTAGAGCGCTTTGGCAAATAAAATTCATACAATTTGAATTGTCTCCAATCCACCATAATCCCACCTGCTTCCTGCTCTCTCACAACCATTGGAAGAAATTAGGGACACTTGTGCTGCACTGAGCTAGGAGGGCCAGGCTCAAGTCCCATCCCGCTCCAGTGTGTAATACTATACCCGAACAGATTGCTTAGAAATGGTTCAAAGGAAGAAATTTAACTCATGGTCCCAAATCCAGAGACCTCCGTAAGGGGTAATGAATGGGATAACTCTCCATCCCCAGTAGGTCTGACTGTCTCTAATGTACCAAAGTAATTGGTGAAACATTCTGTTAATTTAAATGAAAATAGTTGTTTGAGAACAGAGGAATTTTGTACTAACCCCTGTGGGCAATTAAAGAGGAGTAGACTTCACTGATTTGCAAATTCTATTTCATTAAGAAAACCTTTATTGGACAGCATCACCAATGTTCGCTTGAGCCGTGTCACATCTAACGATCTACATGGAGTGCAATGAGGACTGTTAAATGTGAACACGCAGCCATTTTGGGCACAATAGCAATGATGGGAAAAACTTCTCATTTAACCTGCTTGTGGTAGAATCAGGGAAAGTAGAAATGTGGGCTCTTGAGATATGAGGAAAACTTAAGCTCTTCAACATGCTCTTTCAAGCTCAAATTGAATAATAATTTGTAATAACAATTATTAACATGCCAAGGAACAGATTGTACGTACTACTATCATTCTTAGATGTGCACCATTCAACCATTAATTTAGTAATCAACAATTCAGTTGAGATTTCACAAGCGTTTCCTTTTTAATAATGTAAACTTCAGGATGACCTTGGGAAGGCTCCTGAGGAATGCTCTGCCTGAAAGCACAGCTCTTCGCTAAAGGTGAGAATAACACAATTTTAAAACACAGACGGAGACCTGGCTCCTTCGTGGAAGATCATTTCTTTAATTTAAACAATGGAATTCAGCATCTGCCACATGGGCCCTTGATGACATAGACGGTAGCACGGAAATGAAAAGACGATGAAAGCAAAATGGTTTGGCTGTGAGCAGACTCAATGGGCTGAATGGCCTCTATCTGCTCTTGTGTTCACTTGTAAAGGGATCATAGGGATATTGAACCACAAAGAATAGGATTACCCAGGGAGGCAGGATCTTAAAGATTAAGTGCTCGGCTGTTCAGGAGTGATAGCAGGAAGGACTTTATCACACAGATGGCAGTCAATATGGGCTCCTGCCCCACTCCCACTTCGCCACCGCCGCCCACCACCCTCACCCCCCCCACCCCCCACAAAGCCTCCTGCAACCCTCCACTAGGTGAATTCACATTAAATTTGCAAGACTGATGCCAATAAATTTTTATCCGGTAAGGGAAGGGCATGGAGTGAAGGTGAGTATTTGGAGTAATTTGAGGAGCTGATTGCTCATGTTGTAAAGGAATGGCAGCAGAAATTGCCTTCATTGCTCAGACCCTTGAGTATAGGAGTTGGGACATCATGTTGAGGTTGTACAGGATGTTAGTGAGGTCTCTTCTGGAGTACTGTGTCCAGTTCTGGTCGCCCTGTTATAGGAAGGATATTAATAAGCTGGAGAGAGTTCAGAAAAGATATACCGGGATGTTTCTGGGAATGGAAGGTTTGAGTTATAAGGAGAGACTGGATAGGCTGGGACCTCTTTCACTGGAGCATAGTAGGTTGAGAGGTGACCTTAAGGAGATTTTTTAAATCATGAGGGGTATACATAGGTGAATGGCAGGTATCTTTTCTCTATGGTGGGGTATTTCAAGATTAGGGGGCATATTTTTAAGGTGAGAGGAAAAAGATTTAAAAAGCACATGGGGGCAACTTGTTTACACAGAGGGTGGTTTGAGTGTGGAATGAACTTCCACAGGAAGTGGTGAGTGTGGGTACAGTTACAGCATTTAAAAGACATTTGGATAAGTTCATGAATAGGAAAGATTTAGAGGGATACGGGCCAGGAGCAGGCAAGTGGGACTACTTCACGTCAGGATACCTGGTTGACGTGGATGAGTTGACCAAAGGGTCTGTTTCCGTGCTATATAATCCTACCTACTGTGTTCCAGTAGAGATATCACAGCAGAGCTTATTCATTGCAACAAGCATAATACTCCTATGAAATCTGATCATGGGACTGCTGTCAGTTTTTCTGATAGTTATGATCCCAGCTAATGTTAATATAGACTGAAATCGTGGACTGAAATCTGGCTCAATCTTTTGTTTTAATGAGGTGGTATTTCACTGAAACACAAATACCACACAACGCATGCAGATTTGGTTGTAACATCGGTATATTTAACTTCACTTTTTCTTGCAATGAGAGTTTGGTAGCTGTTCCTTTGTAAGCCACATAACTGAGCTTAGACTTTTCCAGCTTCAAATAACCTCTTCCAGTTCTATGTGAACACTTCTGGTGTGGAGTTCTTAACTATCTCAACTGAGATAATGTATTTCCTAACTTTTCTGAACTCCTGTCTCTAGTAGAAACTCGTATATCCATTTTTAACCAGGATTACTGAGAACTAAATTCAAAAGCTTTCCAAGCTATGGTTTTTTCCCTAATTTAAAAAAAAAAGTCCTGATTCTTCTAAACTGAAAGCAAGTTGATGCTCTTTGATGTCTATTCTGTCTCTTTACCTATGCACCTAACCACAGAAGTTAGTATGTATGGTCTATGCTTTAGCTGTTACTAATTATTATTCAGTTGGAGCTTGAAAAAGGATGTTCAGACTTCACAAGACTCTCAAAATGATAAATAATTCCCATTATCACTCCAGAGACACCCTATCTCAGACTAGTTTATAATCAATCATGGCTTCGTAAATACTGACAAACTAATCATTAAATCTCCTCATACACAGAGACCAACCCCATATGCCACCAATTCAAAATCCAAGCTCTAAAATAAATGATATTACTATACATATAAATCACACACCTTAGATCCGACGATAGCAAGCTGCTGTGTGGGTTGGTGACATGGGTGATGTAGTTATTTCACTCCCTCAGTAATTACCTATAGCACTGATGACATCATTTGGTTAATAAGGCAGTTAACTGGTTGATTTGAGAACTGGTTGCAGCTCTTTGCCATCTTAGCCCCAACCCCTCTTGCCTTTCACTTCTTTATCCTCCTGTCCCACCTCATCCTAAACTGGCAAAGATGGGTCTCTAATCTGACAACCATGACTCTGTGAGGCTACGTACTAAGAGCTAGCTGGTGGAGTATGTTGTGTGGTTACTTGTTTGGCAGCATTGAAGCAATGGACCAGGTGGCCCCAGCCCATACTGCAACGTTACATGGGTTTATGTCTCAGCAGTGAGGGGGGGCATCTAGGCTGTGAGCTACCTGTTAGAGTAGATTGGTGGGAGGAGGGTAACTTCTTCAGGGTAGGCATCCTTAGAAGAGGCTTCGCAGTGGGGTTAAAATTATTTCAGAGATAGTAGGAACTGCAGATGCTGGAGAATCTGAGATAACAAGGTGTAGAGCTGGATGAACACAGCAGGCCAAGCAGCATCAGAGGAGCAGGAAGGCTGATGTTTCGGGCCTAGACCCTTCTTCAGAAATGGGGGAGGGGAAGGTGGTTCTGAAATAAATAGGGAGAGTCTAGGCCCGAAACGTCAGCCTTCCTGCTCCTCTGATGCTGCTTGGCCTGCTGTGTTCATCCAGCTCTACACCTTGTTATCTTAGAGTAGATTGGTGGTATACTTTGCTGGAGAAATTGGAAGCATTGCTTCTGTTCTGACCACCAACTGTAGCAAGCCACTCTCAGTATCTGGATCACCACCTATAAACGCCAATGGGGCTTTGGTTTAACATCTCAACCGACCTTTGTGTCTCCCTACCTGTTGGTCATGTGCCTTTTATTGCTAGGACCTTGTGCAGTAATACTTACTTTCTTCCCCAGGAGGTATACTATCTCACTTACCCTGGAGGTGTGTCACAAAATACAAAATAATTTTTTTGCACCTTATAGTAAATGGATAGTCCGTTCAAGCATTAGCTTGTTAAAGGAAATGGATACAGTTTGACAAATGTTTGATGAGCTGGGGATCCACTCATGATGTGTATTAATTTTGGTTGGACTTGGCATCAAGTTATTTTCCCTGAACTTACTGATTGTTTTCATTTTTCTTTCTCCTGCTTTCTCTCCATCTCATGCTGCCTGTCAGGAAGTGGAGGTTAGTGGTAGCTTTATTCTAGTACATGCTGTAATTGTTATTACCATCAATATTCTTATAAATGGTATAATTTTTGATTACTGTAAAAAACTCATACATATTTTATGTTTCTGTAAATGCACTAGGATATTTTTTATAATTTATCATAAATGCTGCTGCAATACAAAAGGCTAATGGATTCTGATTTACATGGGCATTCAGAACAGCGATATTTGAATAAAGTACCTAAGTTTAATTGGTCCCAGTAAAAATTGCCTCCTAAATTTCTGCTCATGTTTCTTCCTGTTCATGGGGAGGCGATGGCCTAGTGGCATTATCACTGGACTGTTAATCCGGAGACCCCAGATAATGTTCTGGGGACCCGGGTTCAAATCTCGTCACAGCAGATGGTGGAAATTGAATTTAACAAATATCTGGAATTAAGAGTCTCATGATGACCCATAAAAATCCATTGTTGATTGTTGGGGAAAAACCCATCTGGTTCACTAATGTCCTTAAGGGAAGGAAACTGCCATCCTTACCTGGTCAGGTCTACATGTGACTCCAAACCCACAGCAATATGGTTGACTCTAAACTGCCCTCTGGGCGATTAGGGATGGGTAATAAATGCTGCCTGGCCAGCGATGCCCTCATCCCATGAAAGAATGAAGGGAAAAAAATCATTTACGGTTCAGGTTGACAGGTTAAAAACATGATTGTGCTTCACTTAACTGTTTCCCTGTCTTTGGGAGTGCCCATCCTCACCAACGTTGGGTAGCAGCTGATGATCAGAAGGCAGTAGTACTCTTGCCTTTTGGCAGGAGATTGTGACTTCAGTCTCCACTTCAGAGATTTAAGTACAAAAAGAAAGAGACTTGATGCAATGACAAGGGAGAACAGTGTTGCTAGGGGTGCCATCTTTTGGTTGAGATGTTGAACAAAGACCCCACTGACTTTTTTTTAGTTTGACGGAAGGGTTCCCATGACATAACAAAGAGCAGGAGGTTTCTCATCAGTGTCCCGGTCAATATTAAAAAAATGAAAGAACTGTGGATGCTGGAAAACACAAACAAAAACAGAAATTGCTGGAAAATCTCAGCAGGCCTGGCAGCATCTGTGGAGAGAAATCAGAGTTAACGTTTCGGATCCAGCGACCCTTCCTCAGAGCTGATGGTAGCTAGGAAAAAGTTGTTTTTTTTTATGCAGAGGATAAGGTGGGGGAAAGGGTAAGGAGTAAACAATAGGTGCAGATAAAGCCCAAAGAGAGAGAAGAACAGTTGGACAGACCAAGGGGTGGACAACAGTCAGCCTGGGAGGATGAATAGTGGCTAATGGGGACTGTTAGTGGATAACAATGAGTTATGCTTAATAGCAGACCATGTGATAACAAGGCCTGGGGTTTATTCCTCAATACATATCCCTCAACCAAGAGCAATAAAGGCAGATAATGTGGCAGCCATCACACTACTGCCTGTATGGCCTTTTTCTGCACTGTAGGGATTCTAGGATTCTATATCAGCTCGCACAAACAGGTGACCAAAAGCTTAGCCTAACAGTTGAACTTTAAGGGAGGGTCTTAAGATGGAGAGGAGATATGTCAGAGAGGGAGTTCCTGATCAACGGACCAATGTTAACAACGGACCAATGTTAACATTTTTAATACCGTGCTCCAGCTTGCAATAATTTGGGTTTTATGGCTACGGGAATTAAAGTGTACAGTGCACAGAGCATTATTCTGCTTGTGTGAATCTCTTGAGAACACAAAATCTAAAACCTGTTCGTCAAAATCCAACCTGGCCATTTCCATTCCCTGCCTTCTGCATTCCAAGTGGAGTAGCTTAATCATTACGGGTGTGAGAGTGCCGCATTGCCAGAGATGCTGTTGTGTGGACTTCGATCCCTCTGGATGCCACCTCTTGCCTTCCTCACTGTTGGAGAGCTCTTAAAACCCTTTCCTTTTTCCAACATGCCCGCTGGTCTGTTTTCTGCCTGCTCAGTCAGTCTCCAGTGCTAACACACCCTAAGCTGCCTCCCTCCTCTAAACCAGTCAGAGGTCTGTCTAGCAAATAGAAATTCAGTCTTGTCTACCTGGCAGAGAGAGATCTCCAGCCCTTTTACACAAAATGCCCACTCTTTCACTGATCTGCAAGAGTGTGTGCGTATGTGTGCATGTGTAGGTGACTCTGTGTATGGATGTATCATTACTATAACATATATAAAGTGACCCCAAACATTTACAAGGCCAAGTGCATAGTTCGTTGTATGAAAGTGCAGCTCAGATATTTATAGATATTTATACCATTCACTGTATGGACCTTAGCAGCAAAAGTCAATGTAATGCGCTGTATTGACCAAGTGTTATGATCTCTGGTCTAATATTGAGTACAGTACCAGGCAGTGCTTCATTGTTAGAGGTACCGTGTTTCAGATGGGGAATTTAACAAGGGCCTGTCTGCCCTCTAAGGTAGATGTAACCAATCCTATGGCATCCCATGTACCTTGAAGATGAACAGGGGAGTTCTCCATATAAACCAACTTCACTAAGGCAGATTATTATTGGTCATTAATTATAGGTTGGGCAACCCTGACCTATACGGGAGATCCAGCTATGACCTTTGTAAGGCATTCAGAGACTCCAAGAGGCTATCCCAAACTATGCTTGAGACCCTCACCAACCACAGGGACACCTGTTGTGTGTGGCAAGGCGTACACGGCACAACGGGCTACAAAGCAAAGTTGAACAGAATCACGGGCAACAGTACATCCCTACCTGCTCAATGCATTCTATGCTCACTTTAAACAGAAGGGCAGTGAAACGATGTCAACTCCCAACAGCCTCTGATGAATCTGTACCCATGGTCACTGCTGCAGATGTTAGGTCAACCATCTTGAGAATTAACCCACGGGAAACAACTGGCCCAGATGGAGTCCCCGGCCATGCACTCAGATCCTGTGCAGACCAGCTGCTGAGAGTATTCACAGACATGTTTAACCTCTCCTTACTTCTATCTGAAGTCCCCGCCTGCTTCAAGAAGACCACCGTCATCCTGGTGTCAAAGAAAGTACATGCAACGTGGCTCAGTGACTGCTGCCTGGTGGCTCTGACCTCCATAATTAGGAAGTGCTTCGAGAGGTTAGTCATGGCTCAGGTCAGCTCCAGCCTCCCAAATTATTTTGATCCTTTGCAATTCGCCTCCCGTCGCAACAGGTCCACGGCAGACACTATCTCCGTGGTCCTACACTCATCCCTGGAACATCCGGATAACAAGGATACCAAGTCAGGATCCTACTTATTGACTACAGCCTCGTTTTCAACACCATAATTCCAAACAAACTCCTCTCCAAGCTCTGGCACCTAGGTCTCGGCTGCCCGATCTGTAACTGGATCCTTTACTTCCTGACCCATAGACTGCTGTCAGTAAGGATTAGGCGACAACCGCTCCTCCACCATAATTCTCAACACCGGTGGCCCACAAGGCTGTGTACTCAGCACCTTACTGTACTTCCTCTACACTCACGACTGTGTGGCCAAATTCCACCCCAGCTCCATTTACAAGTTTGCTGACAACACCACCGTTGTAGGTCGGATCTCAAACAACAAGTACAGGAAGAAGATTAAGTGCCTAGCGGCATGGTGTAAAGATAACAGTCTCTCTATCAACATCAGCAAAGTGAAGGAGCTGGTCATTGACTTCAGGAAGCATGGTGGAGGGCATACCCCTGACTATGTCAATGGTGCTGAGGTGGAGATGGTCGAGAGCGTCAGGTTCCTGGGGGTGACGGTCACCAACAATCTCTCCTGGTCCATCCACGTCGACGAGATGGTCAAGAAAGCATAGCAATGTGTCCACTTCCTCAGGAGGCTAAGGAAACTCAGCATGTCCACAAGGACTCTTACCAATTTTTTATAGGTGCACCACAGAAAGCATCTTATCTGGAAGCCTCACAGCATGGGTGTGGCAACTGCTGTACCCAAGACCACAAGAAACTACAGAGAGCCGTGAACACAGCCCAGTCTATCTCGCAAACCAACCTTCCATCCATTGATTCCATCTGTACTTCCTGCTGCCTTGGGAAAGCAACCAACATCATCAAAGACCCCTCCCACCCTGATTATACTCTCTTCCACTGGGCAGAAGTTATAAAAGCTTGCATACATAAAATCATATAGTCATACAGCACAGAAACAGACCCTTCGGTCCAACCAATCTTTGCCAAATGTAATCCCAAACTAAACTAGTCCCACCTGCCTGTTCCTGGCCCTTATCCCTCCAAACCTTTCCTATTCATGTATTTATCCAAATGTGTTTTAAAAATGATTGTGCTCACATCCACCACTTCCTCCAGGAAGTTCATTCCACATGTGAACCATCCTCTGTGTAAGAAATTTGCCCCTCATATCTTTCTTTAAATCTCTCTCTCACCATAAAAATGTCTCAATTCCCCATCCTAGGGGGACAAAAAAAAACCTGCCATTAATCCTATTTATACCTATCATATAAACTTATATAAGGTCACCTCTCAACCTCCTGTGCTCCAGTAAAAAAGGGGAACAGATTCAAGAACAGCTTCTTCCCCACTGTTATCAGACTTTTGAACAGACCTGTCAAATGTTAATTCTGATCTCTGTCTCTGCGGCTGACACGCTGTGTTCTAATACCCTGATGCACTTTGTATGGTACAATCTGTTTGTATAGCACACAGAACAACACTTTCCACTGTACCTTGGTATATGTGACAACAATCAATCAATCAATCATTATTGTTGTTGGTGCAATCTTGCTGCGTGCAAATTGGGTTCCATATTTCCTGCATTACACCAGCATCTACACTTTGCAAAGTGCCTCTTTGGCTGGAAAATACTTTGTGGAGTCCTGCAGTTGCCACATAGAGGCAAGCCTTTTTCCATAATGGCAACAAGTATGAGCACTACTGATTGACTATACAAGAAGATGCCAATTGATGGATGTATTTAAGAAGCGAAGTCTGATTTGTGTATCGTCTCAAGAATGTGCATTTAGCCCGTCTGAAGTATTTCTTTAGTGTATTCATTCTGGTAACTTCTGCTGACTGAGGCAGTGCTATCTGAGCTGATGATGCTATCAGAACAACTTCAATTGAGTTACTTCATTGTGAGTCACTACTCCCCATTAATTATTCGCTCTATGCTGTCTGGTGCATTCTCTCCAGACAGAAAAGGGATCGATACATATTTTTTTTTCCAAGAATTGTCTTAGCCCAGAGGCCCATTAACGAGAGCCTGCAGTACTGTAACCACTAACAGCTCAAAGCTTCCTGCGATCAACAATTGATAATGTCAGAGAGAAAAAAAATAGAACAGTGTCCTAAACCAGGGCCTGGAGGTGGTATTAGTGCTTTAAAGTAACAGGCCAAGAAATCTCTTGCAAAGAAACATCTTGTGCATTGAGGCCAGTCTTGGCAAAATCAGTGCGCAAGGTGTTTCTTTTGCAAGAGATTTCTTGGCCTGTTACTTTAAAGCATTAATTCCTAGGATGACAAAAATTCTGATACTCCTTATTCTTTCATGGGGCCTGGGCTTAACTGGTGGACCAGCACTTGTCATCAGTCACTAATTACCTCTCAATTGAGTGGCTTGCTCACCCATTTCAAAGGGCAGTTCAGAGCCAACCACATTGCTATGGGTCTGGAGTCACATATGGGTCAGACCAGGCAAGATTGGCAGACTTCCAGAATTAAAGACACAAACAGAAATTGCTGGAGAAACTCAGCAGGTCTGGCAGCACCTGGGGGGAGAGAGAAAGCAGCATTAATGTTTCACATCGGATCATCCTTCCTCAGAACTGATGATAGCTGGGAAAAGGTGGTATGTATGCTGAGGGGGGTGGAGGGAAACGAGTGAGCAGATATACAGAAGTGGAGCCCAGAGAGAAGATGGCAATTGGGTAGATAAAGGGTTGGATGATGGTATGCAAGGCAGAAAGAAAACCTAATAATGGGGACCACAAGTCAGTGAAAATGGGTTGGCTGTACAGAAAGCATCCCATGTATTGACAGGGCCTGGGTGTGGGGATGGGTAAAGAAGGGGAAGTATTGACTGTAACAAGGTCAGCCAGCTGGAACTCATAAAATATGAATTCCCTGATTGGCCCAGATTAACAGCCCCCTGTCAGGGAGTCCTGGCTGACATATAAAAAGGGGAGTATCAGAGATGCTGACACTCTGGTAGCTGACTCTGAATGAGGTGATACGCAAGTCAAGGACTGTTCATCTGTAAATAAAGGGCGACTTAGTGATGGATACCGGCCTCTGTAGCGTTGTTTCAATATCAGGTTCCAAAATTATTGAGTCCTGAAGGCTTCCCAAGTGCAAGATGAGATGCTGTTCTTCCAGCTTCACTGCAGCACTGCAGCAAGCCCGAGACACAGATGTTGGCCAGGGTGTGTTGAAGTGGCAGGCACCTGGAAGCTCAGGGTCATTTTTGTGGGCAGAATTAAGGGGCAGGGTTAGAATAAGGAGCAGGATATTTTGGACTGAGATGAGGACGAATTTCTTCACTCAGAGTGGTGAATCTTTGGAGTTGTCCCCCAGAGGGTTGTGGAAGCTCAATCATTCTGTTCGAGACAGAGATTGATTGATAGATTTGTATATGTCAGTGACATATAGACATCGAACGTGCGAATAGTGCAGGAAAGTAATGCTGGAATGGGTGATCAGCCAGTGCTTGAACAGGTTCAGAGGGCTGAATGGCCTGCTCCTCTTCCTGTGTTCCTACTTAAATATCAAACTGATCTCATCAACACAAGTTAAGCTTTCAAATGCTAATAAACCCATCTCAAAGTTTCTGGGCTTAATTCCTTCAACACCAGACTAGCCCATGTTATCTCTAACATATGAAGAGCTTGCATCTCTGAAGTGAATCCGTCATAACTGTTAACATCCTTATACTGGCACGGTGTAAATAGTTTTCATGCATATTTTTCACAGGAGAAGGAAGCTCCAAAATTGTCCCATTGTAAACCACTGAATAGTGTGCGCGAGTGTGTGCGCGCGAGTGTGTGCGCGCGAGTGTGTGCGCGTGAGTGTGTGTGTGTGTGCGGGTGTGTGTGGGGGTGCGCGCGTGTCTGTGTACTAAATGGTGAAAAGCTAAAAATGGTAGAGGTCCAAACAGAGCTGGAGGTCCAAGTGCACCATTCAGCCCATTGAAATGCTAAGAACAGATACAGATGATAACCAAAAAAGCTAATGGAATGCTCATTTTTAGTAAGCCAACACCACAGGATGGAAGACATCCTTCAGCTGTGTAAAGCCCTGAATAGATCATACCATAAGCAGTTCTGGGTAACACACCTTATGAAGGTGTTCTTACAGGGAGTGCAATGTAGGTTCCCCTGGTTTCCAAGGGTTAATAGGAGACAGTGAAATGAAACAAATTGGGGTTGTGTGTTCTCAGGAATTTCACAGGTGATTTGATCCAAGTTTCCAAGGTATAATAAGGAGAACAATGAGGGTGGATTGAGTGAAACTATTTCCACAAGTTGCAGAGTCTATTACCTCGGGAATAAAGTCTAAACATGAGAGCCAGTCCTTTCAGTGTGAAATTTGCTAAGACGTCAACATGTGTAAGTGGTAGACATTTGGAACTTTCTTCCAGAAATGGCATTTGGTGGTTAGTCAACTGTTAATTTTAAAACTGAAATTGATCAATTTTTGATATCTGAAAAAACTGAAGGCTATAGGACAAAGATGGGTACGTGGAGTTCGCTCGCAGATTAGCAATGATCCCAGCGAATGGCAGAATAGACACAATGGGCTGAATGGCCTCCTCCTGTTCCTGAGTTCCTACATGACAGGATACAATGTACTTAATAATCACCTTTCTATTTCCTTGGTAATAAATTGTGCTGTTAAATGGATATTTCTCCTTGAGGTGACAACTTCTTGTTTGTTGTAAAATAAAACAATGGGTCACCTCTGACGTCACCTACAGCACTCAAAAATTAGTTAACTCAAGCCCAGAAGTTATATTGTGTGAATATTCATATTCGAAAACCTAACCAATTCAATTCAACTTCCACCCATCTGTAGGTTTGATGGAGTGAACCTGTTTAAATTGATCAATGCTCTGTTGAAACACAGTGATTATATGGTAATATTAACACAACACAGTTTCAGAAACATAATATTAAGGTGTAAGGGCACAGCACTGCTGCATGCCACCTGTATCGAGTTACTGTACATTTCAGGGGAGCCAATGATGCGGTGATGTGATTTAATTTCATGTTAATTTCTCTCATTGCTGATGTCACCTGGTCTTCGGTCTTTTGACATTTCGGCTGACACCCCATCGTTATTTCAGTTCTTTGCAGTGTGTGGCCTGAGTTCTGCCCTAAAATTCCACAGTTCCAGCATTTTCCACTATGGCCTAAGCCCTAAAATCTGAAATTCCCTCTTTACAGCGCTCCCTTGTCTTTTTTCTTTGACCCAACATTTTGGTAACTTGTCGTAATGCCTCCTCATTTGGCTCTTCTTTTTTGTACAGATTCTCTCTTAGGAAGCGCTTTGAGATGTGTTGCTGTGATAAAGATGCTATGTAAATGCAGAATGCCATTGCCTTCACAGGAAGCATGTGACCAATCAAGACATAGAGCAGGAAGATCAGTCGGCAAAGTCACCCCAGGCAAAGGCGTGTTTGAAGCAACTCTCCTGCAATTGGTCTCACGATGTACATAATAACTCTCACATATTCCAAACGTCAATATTTACATTGAACTGGGACACATCTTAGAATGTAGGTCATATAAAGAAAGGAAGGAAGGAAGCAGTCAAATGTATGCAGGACACCCCCAAAATGTTTCATAACCAGTTAATTAATGTATACACTGGTATGTAATACCCACACTAGACTTTGGATTAATGTTTCATCCAAAGAGGCATTTCCAACAATGGAGCATTCCTTACGAATTATCAGCCTAGATTGTAGGGTAAGAGTGAGGCTTGAACTGATAATCTCCCAACCTAGAGGCATAAGGGCTACCAACTGAGCCAATCTATCACAAAGTCATCTAGTGTGTTGTATGACCAAAAGCAAAATCTATAAACTGCACAGTTAATTGCTTAAGTGTCAAGTTGATTAAAACATTGGATGGTGCATCTGGCTTTACAGCATCCGTTCATTACAAACAGAGTTTCAGCGAAGGCAGGGTAGAACTCACACTTTGAGTCAACAGGAACCTCCATGTTGTTTTTCTGGCTTTCCTGACAGCAAGTAAAATTGCAAAATAATGTCGGAGACTGCAGGAGACTGTAGGTCTGGCAGCATCTGTGGACAGAGAAACAGTTAATTTTTTGAGTCCAATCTGACTTTCCTTCACATACGTTGTGTCTGGGAAGTGAGGAGGAATACAATCTCTCTCTTACTCCCATCCTCCCCACTGCTGTAGCTGTGTATTGATGCATTGTTCACACAAAGGAAGGATTAAAATTTAATCCCATAATTTGTGTGTGACGGAATGATCGAGACATACCCTGACTGATATCCTGAGAGGATTTTGTGGGGAGAGAGGGATTCGGAGGGACAATTGAAAGAAAATTATTTTTATATTTTGAAATGATCAAGAGTGGGGACCACAACCACTTGTGAAACTTAATTAACAGGCACTGAAACAATTTTAAAAATCTCTGAGATTCGACAAAGTCTTATTTGAATGCAAATATTTTGTTGTATCTCTATAAAGAGATGGCTTTAAGAGATAGAGGATTAATGATATATTAATGATTAATTTTCTCTTTTTACAATATCTTTCTCCTCATTTTTTGCAGGATGACTACATTCGAAACTGGGATCAGAAGACCTTTGATGAAGGTGAGTTTTTCCATTAAGTCATAGAGTCATAGAGAGCTACAGAAAAAGGCCTTTCGGCCCATCGTGTCCACACCAGTCAAAAACCACCGTCTCACGATGATCTATAGAGGCTAGAAAAGTATGAGCTATAAGGAGAGGCTAGAAAACCTCAGGTTGTTTTCTCTGGAGCGGCAGAGGCTGAGGGAAGACTTGATAGAAGTCTATAAAGTTATGAGATGCGTAGATAGGGTTGACGGTCAGAATCTTCTTCCCAGAGTTGAAATGCCTAATACTAGGGGGCATGCATTTAAGGTTAGAGTGGGAAGTTCAAAGGAGATGTGAGGGCAAGTTTTTTACACAGAGAGTGGCAGAAGTCTGGAACACGCTGCCAGGGGTGGTGGTGGAAGTAGATACGATAGTGAGGTTTAAGGGACTTTTAGATAAGCACATGAATATGCAAGGAATGGAGAGATATAGACCAAGGGCAGGCAGAAGGGATTAGTTTAATGTGGCATCATGTTTGGCGCAACATCGTGGTAAAGGGCCTGTTCCTATGCTAGGTCTATGTTCCAAGTTCTATAACAATTCTAATCCCATTTTCCAGCACATAACTCATTGCCTTGTATGCTTTGGCATCAGAAGTGCACATCTAAACACTGCTTCAATGTGATGTGGGTTTCTGCTTCTACCACTCTTATAAACAGTGAGTTCCAGATTCCTATCATCCTCTGGGTGAAATTTTTTTTCCCCACATGTCCTTTAAACCTCTTTCCTCTTACCTTAACTCTATGCCCCCCAATCCATTGGGGAAAAGAAATGGTCACCAGACTATTTCCTGGGACCACAGGGCTATTCTGTGAGGAGAGGCTGTATATTGAGTTTTTATTCTCTGGAGTTTAAAACGATGAGAGGTAGTCTCATTGAAACACACAAGGTTCTGAAGAGTTTTTTGCAAAAGGAAACAAATGCAAGGTGAGAACACAGTGTGGAGCTGGAGAAACACAGCAGGCCAGGCAGCATCAGAGGAGCAGGAAAGCTGACATTTCGGGTTGGGACCCTTCTTCTGATTTCTGAATCATCGATTTCTAAAGGAGGGTCCCGATCCAAAATGTCAACTTTCCTGCTGCTCTGATGCTGCCTGGCCTGCTGTGTTCCTCCAGCTCCATGCTGTATTACCTCTGACTCCAGCATCTTCAGTTCTTGCTATCTCTGTGCAAGGAGAGATAAAGTCTCTTGTACACAGGAGTGAGTAGGGTCTGGAAGTGTGGTGGAGACAAATTCAGTTGAGGCATCCCGGAAGGTGATTATTTAAATAGGGAAAAATGTGTAGGACTGAGGGGAAAAGCCAGGAGGTTGGCACTAAGTTTAAAAAAGCTCAGAGAGCCAGTACAGACACAATGGGCCAAATGGCAACCTTATGTACCACAACAATCTTGTGGTAGTTTCTGTTGAGTGTGTCTCTGTGTTCTACATATCCACAATCTCTGGACCAGTGGCCTATCATTTAGGACTGAAACGAGGAGGCATTTCTTCGCTCAGAGGGTTGTACATCTTTGGAATTCTCTATCTTAGAGAATTGTGGAGTCTCATCCGTTGAATATGTTTAAGACTGGGGATTGACAGTTTTTTGGTCTCCAGAGGAACTGGGGGAAATGGGAAATGGTTGGGAAAGTGGATTGGACGCAGAATATCAGGCTTGAGGACAGCTGATTTATTTTTACTTATTTATGGGATGTGGGCGTCGCTGGCTGGACCAGCATTTATTACCCATCCCTAATTGCCTCTTGAGAAGGTGGTGGTGAGCTTCCTTCTTGAACTGCTGCAGTCCATGTGCTGTGGGTTAATCCACAGTGCCCTTAGAGAGGGAATTCCAAGATTTTGACCCAGCGACAGTGAAAGAATGCTGATATATCTCCAAGTCAGGATGGTGAGGGGTTTGGAGAGGAACCCAAAGGTGGTGGTGTTCCCATATACCTGCTGCCCTTGTCCTTCTAGATGGAAGTGATCGTGGGTTTGGAAGGTGCTGTCTGAGGATCTTTGGTGAATTTCTGCAGTGCGTCTTGTAGATAGTACACACTGCTGCTACTGAGCATCAGTGATGGAGGGAATGGATTGGTCTAGCCCTCCTGCTATCTCTTATGTTCTGTATAGTGTGAACATTGAAGAACCTTTTGGTGATTGTTTTTGGAACCAAGAACGTGCCAGAATTTCAAGCTCCCAGTCAACCCAATTTCTTTACCAATTGTCCAGCCTGGTGTGTTAGCACAAAGCATTTAACCGCTGGACCACTTACTCAGTTCCAAGTCAGTGGTTGTCATTCTTTCTGTCTGTCAGGCTCACTGTCTCCTGCTCTGACTCTTTCTCTCTCGTCCTGCTTTCTCTTGCCCTGCCTCTCTCACTCTCTCTTTCTCTCACTCATTCTTACTCCCACTCTGTCACGTATCCTCTTGCTTTCTCTCATTCTACCTCTCACGTTCTCTCTCTCTGCCACTGCCTCACTCTTCAGGATTCTAACTGCCATTTAAACTTCCTTCAGCCAGTTTTGGGGAATGAGTTAGTATTGAAAACAAGGCTTTATTCAAGGCCGGTTAGCCTTATGGTGCTGGAGAGCAGCAGGTTGGCTCCGCCCTCTGGAAAGTCTGAAGGAAGTTGGTGTGGATTAGTTGATGTAGTGACATATAGTCTCCAGTGCTTGACAAACACCAAGGATATGAGGGATCACCAGGAGGATCCTTCCAATTGCATTGGCCCTGCAATGTTTTGCTGTGCATCTGGGTGTGTTTTTTTTATTCACTCGTGGGACCTGTGTATCGCTGGCTGGACCAGCATTTATCGCCCCTTCCCCAATTGCTCTGGAGAATATGGTGAGCTGCTGCCTACTTGAACTGCAGCAGTCCATGTACTACAGGTTGATCCACCAATGCTGCTAGGGAGAGAATCCCGGACTTCTGACCCGGCGACACTGAAAGGAACAGCAATATGTTTCCAACTCAGGATGGGGAGTGGCTTAGAGGGGAACTTTCAGGTGTTCCACCAAATCTGATGCCCTTGTCCTTCTAGATGGTAGTGGTTATGGGTCTGTATAATGCTGTAGGAGGAGCCTTGGTGAATTACTGCAGTGCATTTTGTACTGATAGTACACACTGCTGCGACTCAATGCTGGTGGTGGAGTGAGTGAATGTTTGTGGATATCTTGCCAAAATACGCAAGATGCTTTGTCCTGGATGGTGTCAAACTTCTTGAACATTGTTGGAGCTGCACTCATCCATCACACTTGTGCCTTGTAGATGGTGGACAGTTACTGGTTGCAATATTCCTAGCCTCTGACCTGCTCTTATAGCCACTGTATTTGTATAGCCGTGATGTGGAGGTGCCCATGTTGGACGGGAGTGGAGTTCAGTTTCTGGTCAGTGGTAAACCCCAGGATGTTGACAGTGGGAGATTTGGCCATTGAATGTCAAGGGGCGATGGTACAATTCACTGTCGCTGGATATGGCATTGCCTGGCAATCACCTGGGAGTGAATGTTACTTGCACAAATACTCGTTAGGTGATTTCTGGGCAGATTTCAAAGTATCATTGATCCACATTAAGTTGCTTTCGCTCACTTATCTCCTTTATGAGCGGGCTTTGCTTATAACTGAGCAGTGGCGATGAACATCACCCAGCAGTGTGAGCTGTGGAGTAGGTCCAAAGTGAGCCAAACCCATCTTTACAAAGAACCTTTTTTAAAAAGTTGTTTCAGGATGCTCTGATCCCTTTCATTACTAACAAATACCTTTAAACAGTGATCACTGGTGCAGTGAAGCACAGCCACTAATTAGCAAGATCCCACAGACAGCGGTTAGGTAGATGACCAGATGGTAATGCTATTTCTGAAACTGAGGAAACATTCTGGGGTCCTGGGTTCGAGCCCAGCCACGGTGGAGTGTGAATTCAATAAAAAAAATCTGGAATTAACAGTCTCCAGATGGCCATGAAACCATTGTTGATTGTTTCTTAAAAAACAATTTGGTTCACTAATGTCCTTAAGGGAAGGAAACTGCCATCCTTACTTGGTCTGGCCTACATGTGACTCCAGACCAACAGCAATGTGGTTGACTCCTAACTGCCCTCTGAGATAGGGGATAAATGCTGGCTCAGCCAATGACACTGTAGTGATTGGAACCAGGTGGATCTCATTGACTGAGATCCTTGATTGGGGTTGTTAATCTGGGCCAATCAGGGAGTCCTGGCTGACAGATATAAACAGGAGCTATAGAATCACCCGAGTTCAGGGTATGGGCCCCGAGCTAGCTGGGCCACAGCCAGTGTACTGTGCACATGCCGAAATAAAGGGTGGCCAGGTGACAGGATACCAGCCTCTTTGCAGTTATTTCAGATACCCTCATCCCATGAATGAATTGTAAGGATAAATATTGATCCAGGAAAGAATTATGTCTGGAACCCAGGGTCGCAATCAGACACAGCGAAGGAATGAAATGATCCCTGTGTATGGCAGCGCTGAGAGGAGAGTTAATCCTGTGTTTTCAGAGAGCAGTCCCTCTCTAACGAGTGGACAGTGTTAGGTCAGTGCTTTTTCTTGGGAATCTCATTAACTCTATCAATGCATGGTGTTCAGGCTCAGTGGGTAGTTGGGGCAGGAAATGAAGAAAGGAGGCAATGGCCTAGTGGTATTATCACTGGACTGTTAATCCAGAGACCAAGATAACGTTCTGGGTTTGAATCCTGCCACAGCAGATAGTGGAATTTGAATTCAATAAAAAAAAATCTGGAATTAATGATCTAGTGATAACCATGAATTCTTTGCTGATTGTGGGAAAAACCCTCTAGCTCACGAATGCCGTTTAGGGAAGGAAACTGCCATCCTCACCTGGTCTGGCCTGCATGTGACTCCAGACCCACAGCAATGTGGTTGACTCTCAAGTGCCCTCTGGGCAATTAGGGAGTGCAATAAATGCTGCCTAACAGCAATACCCTCATCCCATGAATGAATGAATAAAAGAAGAGATACCAGTATAA